TTTTTTTTGCTTTAAATATAGCCCGATGGAACACAGATCCTATATTATTAAACTGATCAGAACAGACACTACGCTTGATCTTCCCCAAACTGGCCACTGTTTTCACTCTTCTTCTTCTTCTTCTTCTTCTTCTTCTCCTTCTTCTTTTGCTTCTTGAAGTTCAGAGAAGTCCGTGCTGGAGTGGGCGTCCGTGTCAGCTTAGCCATTTGGTTACGCGCGCAGAACCTCACGTGTTCCATTCTTGGGATTGCCTCGTGGATGGAATACGGAATTCAAGTCTTGCTAGCGTAGCAACCAGCAGTAAGGACCGTTCATTGTCTGGTGGGTAGCAGTGGCTGCGTAGACAGCCTGTGCGGTCGGGTGTGAGTGTGACTGGGTACATCGGCACGCCGACACATCCGTGCTGGGTACTCATCTTGGGCCTTAACTTTGACCCCAGTCAGCTCAGCCGTCGCATTTTCGATTCTTGGGATCAGCTCATGGATTGAATGCAATTCTTCTTCTTCTTCTTCTTCTTCTTCTTCTTCTTCGTCGTCGTCGTCGTCCTCCTCCTCCTGTTTCTCGTCTTGTTATGTTTGTCCTTCTCCGAGTCGTCCTTGTTGTTGCGGGCTTACCTGTTTGAGGACTCTCCGAATATGGGTGGCAAAGGAAGGCTGAAACGCATTGGTCTTCCGTGCAGTTCTCCGCGAGCCGCTGATTGCTTTCTTCTTCGCTCGAGTCACTCGCTCTTTCTTCTTGGGTGTTACATAGCCGGTGCGTTGAGTGGGCCACATCATCGGGAGACCTTTGGCCACGCCGCTGGGACTTCCTTTGTGGCGTCCTGCTCCTGGTCCTGTTCCCGGTTCTGATCCTGGTTCCGACCCTAGCTCGGATCCTGCTCCCGATCCTGAACCGCCCCCCTTCTTTTTCGCCGACGACTCCTTCATCATGCCTGTCGCTGTCGATGTCCCCAGAGCCCCCCCTTTCTCCATTCTACGATTCATGTCCTTTCCATTTCCATTTCCATTTGCAATTCCAGTTCCAATTCCAATTCCATTTGCGTCCCCATCACCTGAGTCCTCCAACACAACAACCGCAGCACTTCTACCCCTCCGAACCCCTACCACCCCGTTCTGACGAGGCAAACTGGATGCCGCACTTCTGCTGGACCATTGACCGGGAGGCATCCTGTCCAACCTCGATAATGTCGATATCAAGACACTGGCTTGGCTCTCGCCCACTAGCAACGGGTAACAATTACAGTCTCTTTTTTTTTTTTTT